AGGCGACTCAGAAGCCACTAGCACGGAGAGAAAACCGTAACAGTGGCAGTGATCGTCTTTCTTCGTTCTGCGTTTTGTTGGTTTTGGTTTTGGTTTTTTTTTAATAGAACGCTGTATTCGAAATACAAACAGTACACTAACCGCGCTTTGTAACTTCAAGGTGTCCATTTTCCATAGGAACAACAGAATGGTGAGAGTCTGAAAGTAAGCTGAAATGTAAAGAAAACTTTCAAAATGCATACATTTTCATTTCAGAACTTCTGCAGCAATTATACCCCAGTAATCTCTGCTTTTCCTTCGCTAAAAGGAGCGTTGTGTGTGCCTGCAGTATGATCACTCTCACAATTCAACAACAAAAACACGAGCACACATCCTGACACAGCTTTGCTGTAGTCAGTGAATTAAATTGTTCAAGGTACCCAGCTGCATCAGCAGTATGTAACAGAAGTTATACCATGACTTGGTATATAAGGAGTGGATTTGCTGTTTATCAGGTCAGACATACTGACTTTTCTGTACTAGGGAAAGCATATTATTTTAAGGATTGAAAGAGGAAAACCAAACTTTGTCTTACTAGGAGTAACATGTATATAATACAGTGCTTAATGTGTTGGGCACCCTGAAGTTGTACTATAGTGAGCATCATAACAGTTACCAGCAATAGAAGAGGTTGCAGCTTCTTTGTACTTCTTCATTCTGAGTTCTCTGTTTTGTACATGTGTTACACATGCTACATGTCTTAGATCAGATGCTCTAGCATTGTCGTCTTTACCTTTATAGAAAACCACCTGTCATTTCTCACTGCAAAAACTGCTGATGAATTGCTGATAAAGACTGAATCTGCAGTGTTTATAGGCAAAAAACATGTAGCTGGTTCCAGAGTTTGACAAGTGTTAAAATGTTTTTAAATTAATAATCTAAAATTCAAGCAAAAAATTTTGTCACCAAGAGGAAACTTACTTTGCAATCAAAGATGTGGATCAAATTATCATCCTCACCTTGGACAATCCGTGCCAATCATGTTTGAGGCACTCTGCCAGGATGGTAATATGGGCACATTTTTTTCCTGATGTTGCAGATGCAGGAACTTTCAAAACTAATTGACTTCCATTGTTTGAGTTGCATAGTTGGTAAGAGAAACTTGCTGTCTTACGAGGCTGTAACAATGGTTACTTAAGAGTGTTGTAAGATGAAGGCAGTTCTTACTGACATAACTGACTTGCTCCAACAATCAACTTCAGTAATTAAGAAGACAAATATCATTACTCTGAAAGTACCAGTTGATTGATATATCATTATTCACTAACTAGACTGAAGTGTAGTATTTGAAGAGTATATTAGATTTACAGTTTTTTAACATGTCAAGTATTAAACTTGAGTTTTATAAATGGATTCAAAACTATGAATACAAGGTTCTTGTATCATTTTGTTTCTTTATAGAGCAGTATTTAAAGCCTTCAAATACATTTTCTAAATTAAGAATATTTAGTTCTACAACTATGTACCAATATTCTTGAAGCATTTGGTGGCTGTAGATCTTCAGATAGAAGAAACAGTTAAGTATATTCTTTCCTCTTTGTGACTATTTCCTTTTATGACAATGACAAATGCAAATGTCATTATGCACATAAAATACTGTAGTCATAAAATTCCTGTGTAATAAAACACTATAAAATGTAATTTTGCTTTAGACAGATGATTTTAATTACTATAGTATTGGAGCAGAGCCAATAAACAACAGACCCTCTTTTCTCTCTTTCTGTCAATTTACCACCATTGAATTTTTTTTCTTGGTTTGTGCTCTCATAAAAGCTTTAGGCAGTTTCAAGTCAGGAAACTAGGACCCATACTAGCCAATACAGACTGAATGAATCTTAATTTTAATTAAGATGTTACTATTTTGTTAGCCCACCTTCCCTTCTCATTGATCAACCTGTGCCTTCTGTTACAAGAAAAAAACAGCAATCATTTTGCAGGAGCATCTTCATTTTTAAGCTTAAAAAATTAATTTAATTAGTAAATTAACAGAAAGTGAGTTCTTGGATAATTTAAGTTGATTCTCATCATATGGCCCAGTAAGAACTTCTATAGAAAGTTATACTGCAGATACCATAAGTGAACAACATATTATTCATTACAGTAATATGCAAATAGAGTTGATTTTGACAAAAGACAAAGAGAAAATCTATGTAGAAAGGTTACGTATCTTTCAAAAAAGAAAAAAGGGAAATTGAGAGAAATCATGACTTCAATATATATACATTTCAACAATAAAAGATTGCTCAGTTAAAAAAAGCTTGCAGCAGCATGCGTACCAAAAAGACATTAAACCTGTAACAAAAGAACTGATGTGAAAGTCTAGTTTACATTAACATTTTCTGCAACAAAAAAGCTGATTTTAAGAAATTACTGTGTGTTCACCCCATGTGTTGCAATTTGCTGCAACCTCAGTTATTTTAGTATGAATTTTAAAGGTCACATCTAACTACCCTATATGAATGAACAGGTATAAATCTTCTAAGTAGTTTCTTAAGGTACTCTTTTTTAACTTGGCTCATTTCAGTGACATCTTGAAGTATGTGCCTGCAAACAGCTGTAGAAGTGCAAAACTAAGAAGCTGGTGAATTGCAATATATAAAACAATCCAAGTTGCCATTTAGAATGTTTTTTAACCAATCTTGCAGATATGGAAGATCCATATAATTGCATTGTTGCATACTGAACTGCTTCCCAATATTTGTTCAATATATGTTAATAGTATTAATAGTTTTTAAAGAATTCCAGGAGCATGTATCATTATTAAATTAAGAACCTGATTTTTCATGAAAAAACTTTCGTAAAACTATCAGGAAAAAAACTACAGTGACTTTTATTTTATAGGAAAATTAACATCATACTCACCTCTTAAAGCTGAAAAAACTCTTGTACCATCATACAGAACATTCTGCATTGATTACCAGGTGCTTAATGTTGTTTAACAAAATTTATTTTAATATTTTCAACGGTTTTTAGCTCTTCCATGCTCTGCATTATCTTATTTTCTAGTGAATAAGCATCTCAAACAAGAGCAGTCTTAGACAGTTGATGGCATACATTGTGAGCAGCAACATGACTGCTTGTGATTTAACAGATTTTGTTAATAAATTAATTGTAACAAAATTTAATGTTCTGTAGTCCAGTTCTTTATAAAATTACCTTGGGTCAATTTTGCCCAACTCTGTTTCTTTTGTACAGGTCCCAAGGAAGGAGTCAATGGCAATGTTATGCAGTTCTACAATACCTCTGATTAGGTAAAGCAGCCAGAAACTTCAAACCATTTCTGGAAACATTTTCAAGTTTGTGAATAAAAGTAATATTTTTCATATGTTGCCTCTTTTTACTTTTATGATTGTTTTACTTCAGGTGCATTGTCGCAGCATTTATAATGCAGACTATGTGATGAGGATGGCTACTATGCAGTTGATGCTTGAAAAAATAAAATAAAAAATTATTGAAGTAGAGGGATCTTTCAGAAAAATATAGTAACTTTTCTTCAGTTTTGCAACACAGAACTAGTAAATTTAATACACTGAATTAACTGAAATATTGTACTAGCATTTCAACAGTACTTGACTAACTGGGTAAGAAATACAATCAATAATTTTTTTCATACTCAGTAACTAATATTTTATCAGACAGAATACATAATAGGACAGACTGTTATAAATCATTCCTACCCTAACCAAATTATCTTGTAGGACTAGTGTAAATCAGGAGTAACTGCTCTGCAGTTAATATAGTTTCACCAATGGGTAGAGGTGAAAAGTTAAAAGAGAAGAAAGAGTAAAGGCTCCTGGTATTGTTCCAGTTTTAAGAGACTAGCAGTGTGCTTTTAATTGCTGTATTTGTTTGTTCTAAGGTGAAAGATCTTAACTAATTTTAAAAGCTTATTTCTAGTAACTTGTTCACATTTTGGAACACTTTTGCTTTTCAAGTGTGGTTGGTTCCATAAGAAAAACAGCTTTGTACTGTCATACAATAGAAACATGTAAACAAAAAATTCTGTAAAAAAACTTTTCAAATTTGTTCTATACTTGTGCTTCTTCAGTAGATTTTTCTCTTGGTTGTTTCTTTTGAATACAAGGTTGTATAAGTAAAAATATTATTCCCACCATGTATAGCAAGCCAGATATGTAAAAAGAAAAATCGTATTTTTGTGTGATGTCATAGATCCAACCTGCAAAATAAGGACAAAACATGTTTGTTACAAACCTTGACAACAAGGTACATTGCATGCGAAAACATGAAAAATTCTGTACTTTTGTCTCATGACCTTTTACTCAAATCTATAGATGTTTTGTGGAAAAAAGAGGTGGTGGTTGTCACTTCCTCTAGATGCTACAAATGGAAATGTATAACAAAATCTTGACCATTCACCAAAACCCAAAACCAGTGCAAAACCTATCCCCTCATCTAAGTATCATGGAAGCCTTAAAATGGGACTCTATCCATGTGCCATCCTAAGAAGCCAAGCAACCTTCTCTCTAAAGCTGTATCATTTTCAAAAAAGTTATCACAGATATGACTTCAAAACAGACATTTTGGAATCCCAAGCCAATTAGTTCTTCCAGTTTACTGTTATCTTTGTAAAATGCCCGATACAGCAGGCTCGTTCAAATGCTGTGCCTTGTGCAAGTCACATTCCCAATAGCTTCCCAAAAGACTCACATCAATAAAAGATTTTTCAGGAGATATAATCTCAGCAGTGCAATGACTCTCATTTCAACCTCAATTCCTTTATAAAAGTACATTAAAGTTACTTCAGAAAGGTCTGAGTACTCAAAATAGCAAAATTCCCTCATGTCATGCTGGTTGCATTGTGATGTAACCTCAAGGCCAGAAGGTTTTTTTACATCAACTAATTGCATCCTATTTGCGTCATTACTAATGTCCACACACAATGATGTGTAGCACAGACTGAGGTGCTGGAGTAATATATAGTAGATTAAAACACTGCAGCTTTTCAAAGGGCACTGAATGAGCTTTCTTTTAAATCACATCAGCTCACTCAGCGGTGGGGAGAGAAGGTGAGAGCCTCCTCCCTTGTCTGGGGTGCTTGTGCTGCTAATAGCTTCAGTTCAGCCTAGTGCCATCCCTGGCTGACCACAGACATTACTCACAGGTTTCTTACTGCTTTCTTCTGATTTGCAGCTCTGTAAGAGACAGTGGTAGTCTGGATATAGTATTGGCAATGAATACCTGTGTATCTTCTGCACTTCCTCACCTCATTCTATGAGAAAAATTATAAGGAATGTTTGTTTAAACCTAAGTAACTTTAGGTATAACACACATACACTTCTACCTTCTGCTGTGGATGGCAGTAAAGAGATTATGAGCAGTGCAGTCCCCAAAGTAGGTATTTCTGGCTGAAGGAAGGCAAAGCTGAGTTAGTAAAAACTAACACATCCATTGGCAGCTTAGAATGGTGACACCCAAACACACTTTCTAGTTCTTGGGGGTAATACTATGGTACAAACATCTGCCTACCCTGAACACTAGTCATCATTTTTTCCCCTAGATACAGGCATGAGTATGTATAATGCATATATTACACAAAACACCTAAAATTAGTTTAAACTTTTCTAGTTGTAAAGGAGTGTGTAATAGTATTTTAAGAAAAGCTACAATTTAAAGGATAGACTGTAATAGATTTGGGTTATTTGCAAGCATTGTAATCTGAACTGTGTGAACAGTGAGCTGGTACCCAGCAGATGTGATCTGTAAATCCGTACAATTTAAAGCTGGATGTTAAGATCCCTTCTGGAGCAGCTGTAATTTTGTTACCTACACATGCTCATAACATAAGAAAGCTCAGTAATATCGAAAGTCACCCAGTTATTATACAAAAATCTGTTTGTTAGCAAATTGAACTTTTTACCTGCAAAGGGTGGTCCAAACAATGCAGATATTCCGTTGGCACAAATGATGATGCCATAGGCATTTGCAAGGTGTTTGATTCCAACTAAATCTTCAGTCACAACAGGCATTAGAGAAAAATAGCCACTAGAAAATCCTATCAGAGCACAAATCACAGCCAGGCCAACATATGTTTGCAGTAGTGGCAAAGTGAGAATGCAGGTGACCAGGGTAAAGTTAGCCATGAGGAAGACGTTCCATGTGCTGATGCACGGGAGATCAGAGATAATTCCAAGGATCACTTTACCAAAAATATGAACAATGGCTATAATGGATGTCAAAGGAAATATATTGTTCTGTCTAGATAAGTTGTACTGCTTGACTATTTCTGGAAGATGGATAAAGGGAATGACAAAGCTGCTATAGGCAAACAAAGCCCAAATTATAAAGGCCACAAAGACTCTATTGGTAAACAGTGATGCAGCCCCAAAGTAGCTGGAGTACCACATTGCAAAGCCCTTCCTGACTGTGACGGTCAGCTGGCTCACTGTCTTAAGGATGCGCAGTCCGTGCATATTCCTTCCACTTCTAGATTTCCCTCCAGTTTCCATGTGCTGAACACGGTCAAGCACTTCTTCATTTGTTGCCTTGTCTTTTTTTTCCAGTTCTTCACTGAGGACTCCATTAGATTTTATAGTCTCTGTAGAACGGGACAGAGCTTTTGCCTGGTTATCTTCACTATTACTTCTAACAACGTATTTTTCACTTACGTCTTTGAGAGAGAGGGGTCTCATGAGGGCCCCGCAGACACAAAGGTTGAGGGAGATAGCACCCTGGATGAACATGGCATTCCTCCACCCAAATTCAGTGCAGAGATACTTCAGTAAGGCAGTCATCAGGAAAGCTCCAAACCCCGTTCCCGTGGTACTGAGTCCTTGTGCAAGTGCTCTTCTCTTCTGAAAATACTGCCCTACCATGACCACCGCAGGCAGATAAACCATACCACTTCCAATGCCTATGAAAATGAAACCCAAAATCAATCCAAACTTTTTGCTGACAAAAGTGGTGAAAAAAAAATCAGGTTTATTCCTAAATTTTGAGTGAATATAGCAGTTAATGGCTGAAAAAAACTGAAACACATGGAGGATAAAACCTTCACCTCATTTTAGCATGACACCGCTGAAAGTCCCAAGCATTCCACAACAAATCAGTGAGAGTTAACATGGAAGTAAACATAAAAAAAAACCCTATTTCTAAATATCAGCATTTGTAATACTTGCATCTGGTCACAGTATGAGTGACCAGAAATTGCTCAGTGGGCACATCTTGTTGCTTGTGCTTAAGATCCAGACTGAGTTTTGGTCCTTGCTTTCTAACTGTGGAGCTACAGGGACTGAGATACATTTCAGGAGACAGCACAGAGGGGTTAGCCTGCTTGTGGGACTGAGCACATCTCTAATTTTGTAGAAATTCTCTCAATTGTACTTAAAAACCAGCACATTATTGGTACCTATTTCAAGCAGAAAGTGTTGAGAGTTGTTCAAACACATCATTAAAGGTAGCAGTTGCTCAGTTTTTTCTAACAACATTCCTGACAAGAATTCCTGACAAGAGGGGATTTGGACTAGAAGAGGTGTATTCAGAAGATTATTCCAAATTCACTGAAATGTAGAAGAGCGTTTTGGACTTAAAAGTTTTCCTAAATAGCTGATAATGTGGCTGCATGTGGCTACAGCATCACCTCCCTAAAGGAAGATTGGAGAAAGAGTGGTTACTCCAGCAACGCCTGACGAAAAGGACCTCACCATTACTGCAGTGTACCACAGTCAGACCTCACCTGTTTTGCCTGTTAGAAGTTTTTTTTTTATATGCAAATACATTATTAGGTTTTTAGTTTCCCCCCAAACCCAGACACAAACTTTAAGGAAAGAGACTCCCTGCCCTCTCAGGCTAGCCTGCTGTTGACTCCTGTGTTAGATCAGCCTGGGCTGTGCTGGTGTCAGTGTCCACTGCTCATCCCTGCACAGCCAGAAATAAGGCAGTTTCCACAGCCAGAAAACAAAGCATTTAAAAAAATGTTTTATCTTATTTTTTAATCCTGTGGGCTACACAACAAAACAGTCTCAGAACCTGCAAAGACATGCCACCTTCACAGGTAAATAGAGGGCCACAGGTCTCTCTGCTCTTTTTCCTCACAGATGTGTCACCCTGCACCACAATGGCTGTGGCAAGGCCAGCCCTACTCTCCCCCCTGCAGGGCCTCAGGGACCATTCTGTCCCTAGCCCACAGGGATTCCCGGCTGCCAGCAGCTCCAGGTGCCCAGCCCGCGGCTCCCTAGGATGGCAGAGAAGGGAGGAGGCTCCTCAGCCCCCCCATACTGCTGCTGCTGGGAGGAAGCTGGTGGCCAGGAAGGCTGTGAGGAGCTCGGGCAGGGAAACCAGGGTAAGGTGAGCAGCACTGTGGGAATGGGAGCTGCGGCAGCAGGGTGAGATTATAGGGAAGTACTTGTGTGGGTATCTGGCATTGCAGGTCACCCATGGGGAGAACAGGAGTCATGAGGAAGCCTGCGAGCCCTGCAGGGAGACCCAGAGGTGATGGCAGGAGGAGGCAGCCACTGTAAGTGAACAGCAGTCCCACATTTAGCAAAACTGAGAACATGAAAGAAACTTCCCTGAGGTAGCAGTGAGCAAAGTGACTGTGAGCAAGAGGATCAAATATACTTATTAGAAACGATGCATGAAATAAGGACACATGCATGGCCAGGGATAGAGCTAAATGGCTGGGATAGAGTTAATTTTCTTCAAGGTAGCTAGTATGGTACTATGTTTTGGATTTGTGACCAAAACACTATTGATAAAACAGAGATATTTTAGCTGTTGCTGGTCACTGCTTACACAGCATTAAGGCTTTTGCTGTTTCTCAGGCTGCTCTGCCAGTGAGTGGGTTGGGGTGCACAGGAAGCTGGGAGGGGACACAGCTGGGACAGGTGACCCCCACTGACCAGAAGGATATTCCAAACTGTATGATGTTATGCTCAGCAATAAAAATAGAGAAAGAAAGGAAGAAGGGGGTACATTCGGAGCTGTGACATTTGTTTTCTCAAGTAACCATTACACATGATAAGGCCCTGCTTTAGTGGAAATGGGTAAACATCTGCCTTCCCGTGGGAAGTAGTGAATAAATTCCTTATTTTGCTTTGCTTGTGCATGCAGCTTTTACTTCACCTATTAAACTGTCCTTACCTCACTTTTACCCTTCTGATTCTGTCCCCTATTCCACTGAGGGAGAGAGAGCAGCTGTGTTAGGCTTAGCTGCCTACCAGCAGTAACCCACAACATCCTTTAAAATGTGTTTTGAAGCAGTACGTAGTTATCAGAATCTGGTATTTTATCAGTGTGGAGCAACTCCTATAGAAAACATGTACTGTTTCTTCCTATGACAAAGAAAGGAGTTAGCTGGATATGCAGTTCAACAGTGTTTTAACATCTTTAAATACAACTAGTTAGAGTCTGGGTTATATTAATCCTTCCAATTAAAAATGTCCTCTAATATATTCACTTGGCAGAAACTGATAAAAACACCATCTTCACATGGCAGATATAAATCACAACAGAAGTCACTGGGCCCAATCCACTGAGTAAATAAGCTTTCTGAAAATAAAGGCTGTAAACAGTGTGAAGGAAATACTGGAATAACTTTACAGTCTCACTCCCTCTTTACTCACCCAGATAACCTTCAAAGGAATGAAAAAGAATGGAAAGAACTTCGAATCATTACTACTGCTCTTACCAGCTGTCACTCCAAATGTAAGGAAGAGGTAGTGCACGTTTGAGGCATAGGCACTCAGTATCCAACCCAGGGCATTCAATATCCCTCCAATTATAGCTGTCCTGCGGCACCCACACATGCTGATGAACAAACCAATGAAAGGACCTGTTGAAAAACATGAAAAAATGTTAAAATATTTCTTTACTTGTCTACACTCTATAGTAATTTTTCACAGGAAGATTATTCTTAATGTTTTAAACAAAATGTTAAACATCAGGCTACTCAGGCAATTAATTTTATTTTCCCTATTACTGTATAAAATTGTGGAAAGAAAAAATCAACCAACCGACCAAATACTTAGCAAATACCCACAGGACCTAAAATCAAAGTTGCCCCATGAAGAAGGGACAGTTTAAACAGAGGAGAAAACTGAAACCATTGTTCCCAATAGCATTGCTGGGTGACTGCAGGCCTTTTACACAAGGAACTAGAAAGTAAAAACTTTATTTTGTTTTCACTGGAATATTTTAGGCAGCCCTAAACACAACTTTTTCAATCTCAAGAGACAAAGATGCGTATATACATATATATATATATACATACAAACATACCCCTCCAGATATTATTTGGGGCTCATTCCACCATAACTTATGAAATAAATTTTAGTTCAGCTGCCAAACAGAAATATAAACCACCCAAATTCAACATTTTATCCTCCAAGAGAGAGTACACAAGCTTCACGGATCAGGATCATATTTTCTCAATTCTAGTGAGACCTTAAAGTCACAGGCTTCCTTTCCTGTCTCCTGGAGTGACTGTCTCCTCTACCATCTTTCTTGTTGTCCCCTTTCTCCTTCTAACTTGTAAAATTTGTGCTCATGACTTTAGAAAGGCAATGCAGGAGAACTTGGGCAGTTCTACTATTAAAATGGAAAACTGTAAGAAAACACTTGAGGGATGAGTGGCAAACATATTCTAAAAATCCATGTAGTTTTAAAATAAATTATTTTGGAACATACCTACAATAAGTGTAATGCCCATGCTGAGGGAGCTAACCCATGCTGTTAAGCCACGACTTTGATTAAACTCTTCAAGCCATTCAATGTTGAGTATTCCAAGGGCCATTTGGGACCCCATGATAAGTATGTGCACAAGAAAAGAGGAAAGCACAATCATCCAAGCCCATCCTCCATCAATGTTTGGATTAGGCTTAATTGGCTTACTTCCAACTTTGGAGTCATCTCCAAAATCATATCCAATATCCTCTCGACTAGCATACATTTTCTCCACAGTATTCTGAAACAAATGCAGAAAAACCCTTCAAAATACACACAAAATTATAATCTTTTATAGTTTGGTTATAGTGAGTACCATAAATCACTACCATATCTCACCACTGCAGTTCAGTGCAGTTCTACAGTGAATATGGAGTTTTCATTGTTCAAATGAAAATGCATAGAAAATTCTCTAATTAATGTATGTGTTTGCGTACCTTATTATCACAGCTGTCTGTGTAGGAATATTTACAGCTTGACAGTAGGCTGTATTATTTCCACTACTATACATTTACTAACTTGTTGGTGGCCAGGAGGACTCACTCGTCATGGGTTGACTGAGGTCACAAAAAAAGACGGGTCTCTCTCTGTACACTCCTCTGTATCACCTTCTGCTGCCTTTGTGCTCAAGTTGATAAAGCTTGGAATAAAAAAAGGAAATCCTGAAGAGGTAGGTAGATTAAGTTACCATATCTTCTCAGAGGAAACCACTTTTGAGATGCATTTCTTAATTAATAGTGGAAGAACAAGAGTGAAGACAAAGATAAAGATTGGAGGTTCTTGATTTTCAAAATGTTTGGCTTACATAAATTACAAGGGGACTGTTACTACCTTGCTGGAAAGCTTTTTATTAGAGTTAACTTAACAAACAGTTTGTTATTATGCTTTCAGTTTCCATAGTATTAATCCATATAATCTTACTGAAACTGAAGAATTCTTCTAAATTAATGTCAATGCCTTTCAGAATCAAACTGAGTAGCAGAGTTATGAGCGTATGTGTACGTAGGATCAGGCAATAGTAGTTAATCTGATTACTTTTATTTCTTCCATTGTTACTGTAAGATTGCAATACAATATGAAAATAAACTCAACCGCCATTTTTAATTAATTAACAGGTGCAGAACACAGTCGTTTCTCCATCTCATTTCTGCTGCAACATATTGAAATGTTAGCCTACTGTGGAGTACCACACAGGTTTCCATGGAGACTGGAAATTTAATGATACAAATTACCAGATATGGCAATTTTTTTCTTTTCTTCTCCAGAGAAATAAAAAGAGCCATTGGCTTCACAATAGTCCAAAGAGAGAAGAAAGTTACCAAAAATTCTTTTTAAAAGCTCCTTATATATTCTGTGAGCCCTCAGAATCTGTGCCTCAGGGCTAGTGCCTCGCTGCTGAAAACTGACAGTGAACAGAGTAACTCAGATTCTGTACTAACTGAAAATTCAGGCTCATCTTTAAATATACAACTGCATTTTTTATTCTCACGTTACTACACTTCCAAACTACTTTTTTCTTATTGCTAGACAAACATACAGAGACAGCCTTGAAGTATTTCATACTAATACATACACTAATACATGGACTCAGAACTGATTGGTCAAAGCTACCATTTCTTTCACAGCCACCTGCAGGTATATATAACCTCTCCAGACCAGCTGCTGGGTAAGTAACCTTTGTAGTTAAGCAACATATATAACAGTACAGGTAATGATGTGTAACTAAGGGAAGCTTGAACATGCAACACTCATCTTTGCAATCTTACTGACAGAACAGGCTTGGGTTGAGTACATGCAAGTTAATTTCATGCTTGCATCTACCCCTTCAGAAATCTTAAGAAAATGCATATATTCTCCCTTAGAACTGGATTTTTGCTTATTATTACTTTTATACTGCAAACTTTCCACTAATGTCACAAGCTTAGAGTGAACACACTCAAATCAAGGAAGGCCATTTCCAATAATTGCACAAACTCTCATGCTCTGGATGAAGCAAGGACAGGATGTTTGGATCCTTTCCTCGCTACTGACTCATCGTGCCACGGCTTATCGCACCCGGGAGAAGGGCACCTACCTGCCTTCAGCCTTCTTCCCACACCACAGCACTTCCAAGAACACAGTATCATGGAAAGCAGAGAAGCCCAAGGAGCTCTTTGCAATTGTGAAATCCTAGAGAATGCAATGGAAATGACAGCAGCTGATTTGTGAAGCCAACCGTATTTCCCCACACAAGCAAAGTAGTTAAGACCGACTCACAGGAAGTCTTTGCATACAGCCCCTCACAAGGGACTGAATTAAAGGCAGGAGAATCTGGATTTTTGTTTGATCAGCTGAAGGACATTTTTTTTCAGAAAAAATAAACTTTTTACATTGTATGCATGCACAGAATGCAGAGCTCTTAGAAAACTGGCCCAAACACTAGTGCCCACAAAGATGCTGAGCTTTTTTGAAAATCTGACTCATGAGCTATTTTAGGCACAAATACAGGTTCTGTAAGTAGACCAAAATTAGCAGCTAAACACCCAAGTTCCCTGTACCATCCATCAGTCAAGCTACAGCTCTTCAGCTTGTAGCTGAACTGGATCATCAAAAACATCTGATCTTGATACAAAACATCCATGTGATTAATAATTTACATATACTTGGGTAACCTCTTCCAGTACCTGACTATCTCTGTATAAGTATAGAATAAACTCATACTTTAAAAGCACTTCCAATTGATAACTCTTAAATGCATTATAAATAGTAATGACTTTTGCTTCACTGTATTCCCAGCACACACAATTACCTGCCTTTTGATGGCATAAAGAAAAAAATAATTTAAAAGCATAGTTTATTTTGGGTGTAATAAATTTTGGCAGTCTAACTTCAGCTTGCTAACTCATCAAGCACTTCAGTTGTCAATGACTTCACTACCGATGCAGATACTAGCCACTCATGCAGATCAGAGCCACTGTCCAAAACTGTGCATGCCCAGCAAGGAAGAGAAAATCAGGGAAATTTAACGCTTAAACCTCTGAGCTACTTGCCAGGTCACAGGCTGGCGTGGAGTCGGTGGCAGTTCAATTTCCAGAGTAGGGTTGCTGCCCCTCTGCCCCTGAGGGCTGTTTCCCAGGCCCTGCTCAGAAAATCCCCCGGTGCTGTTCTGCCTCCCTGTGACCCATGAGTGGCCCCACGTCCCCTGGGACTGGAGGAAGGGGCTCAGATCGTGAGCAGTTTTCTCCCCTTGGTGCCAAGGGAACGGCCAGCTCGCGTCAGGCGCTGTACTTCTGTTTTGTAAATGGTTACAGGGAATTACTGGAGCAGCCTGAAGGCAGGGGATGTACGTTCCAACCCTCCCTACCTCCCCCCAAGGCAGTAAATTTGGGAGCTTTACCCGTTACGCCCTCCCAGGCAGGCAAGCGAAGCCCCTCTCCCCAGCGCGGGGCAGCGCTTGTGCCCGGCGGCTGCAGCGGGGCCGGGCGGCGGCCGGGAGCCTGGAGCGGCGGGACCGGGAGCCCTTGGGAAGCCGGGATCCCTCGGGAA